TCTTTTAGAACACTTGTTACATATCTCCAATAAGAAAAAGAAATATCTACATAGACTAAAAACAAAACAAAACAAACAAACAAAAAAACAAACACAAAAACAATACCAGCACCTTTCTGAAGTGTGAGCTTCTGAAATGAACTAAACTTGAACTTCCTCTCGTACATCAGTGGGAAATGTTCTGGCTACTGTACAGTAAGCAGTGAGAGGCCGTTCTACATTGAAATACTGGTTCTATTTTACAACTCGGTTTTGATCTCATAAATCTTGTAATACATCACAAAATGATTTTTCTTTAAAAAAATATATGATTGGGGAAGACTTGGTGAGGTTATTCTAAATTTGAAGTGGAGCTCTGTTATATCTATTTCTTACACGATCCTCTGCGTGTTGTCATGTATATTCAGTGTGTTTATCTGCTCACTGTAGTGAAACAATTCTTTCTGATTTTATCATTTATTATTTCTATGGAGCCATCCCAGACAAAAAGGGAGAAAGAACCATCTTTTGCTGTTTATCACTGGTGGGACCCCTCCATGGTTGCCATCAACTACGGGTTTCTAAACCACGTGTGCGCACAGGGGTAACAGGAAAAAACAAAATGTCAGGATGTTTTTGGAGTCAAACTGCACTGCAAGCAAATACCTGTATTTGTGCTTTATTTGCAGATAACCATGACCTCTTAGCTATAGGATAAATACAATCTGGACAATCCACAGACTTCCTGAGTTCCTTTTTTTGTGTGTTGGAAGTGCCAGGTACTGCATTATGTGATGGGACATGGGCAAATTGCTAGTTAGGTTCAGCATTCAGACTTCAGACCATACTTACGGTTCTGTTTCCCTTTGTCCCTCCTCTTGAAGGACTCCCACCCTTGCCCAGTTAGAATCTGTTTAAATCGCAGAGAGCAAACTCTTCTCCAAACACACACATCAATACAGAACACTTTTTGTTTATCATGCTTTAAAACATACTAGTGCTTTCTTCTTCACCTTTCCTCTTGGCAGATATAACAAACTGCCCTGAGGAGAGAAGAAACAATTGTTGTGGTTTGCAAACACTCTATGAATTCATGACATCAGTGCTAACATGGCTTGTTTCAGCACCAATTTAAAATCCATTCTCCTGCACCGTATGTCATCTCTTTCTGGCTATCTATCCAGCTTCTTCCAGGTTTGTTGTATTAATCTGGCATCCACCCTTTTGAATGCTAAAATGTGCTATCCTCCTTTTCTACAGTCATGTGCATGTTAAAACATTGAAATATTTTTGCATCCTCCTGAATGCTCTATAGGAGAGATGAAAGAGGCTGTGGAGAACAATTGTACATCCTGGATCTAGCCCTCAGGATAGAAGCAATACTGATGACAACCTGTCGAAATGCCGAACTCATGTTGTTGTTTGGATTAAAGAGAGAATGCAAATGAGGGATAAGGGAAAAATAAAAGCTCTGGGATGGGCAAGGGGGATTTTCCAGCAACACAACAGCAAACATTGTCAGAGCACTTGTGACTACAGGTCATACAGTTCTCCACTCTGGGAGCCAGATACGTCTCTACATCGTTTACACTCCTTCCCAGAGAGATTATAAAGCCTAAAAGAAAATAAACGTAGACAGTTTCTGCAAGCTACAGAAGAAAGATTTGCTTTATAAGTAGAAAAGACTCGTGGGCTCTGTTTGCTTGCTTCCTGCTAGTAGTTATCTTAGCATAGGCTATGAAAGTTAGTGCATTTCTATGGCATTCTGGTTTTGTATGTATGGCAAATTCACATCATTAAAATGTTTGTTAAATTATTTGAAGTAATTTCTTTGTGTAGATGTTCTCATCTGGTTTCAATTCATCTTCTAACCAGTTGTCTTAGGTTAATTAGACAGTTAAATCAGTGCTCTTGTCCTTTATAGAAAAGACCTTTAGGATGATACCTAACTACTGAAGTTAGTGGCTGCAGTTGACTCTTGTGGAGTAATATGAGGTGTCATAATGTGTAAGTCTGGGATGTATTTCTGCACTTCATTGTAGATAAGATGCACATCTTTCTAGACGATGGCCGGTTATTGCATTATGCATGAAGAAACACATTCCCAGAGCTCACACAGGTGTTTTTAAGGAGAGAACAATTCTGTTTTCAACCCAGCTTTTAGACAGAACAGGACTACAACCAAAAAAGAAGCAAGCAGCAATGGATAGAATCACTATAAAGAGGAAATCTGATTCTCTCCAGTCCTGTCTTTTTCTGTACTATGCCCTCACTTTTGCTTCCCCCCATTGCCTTGCAGGTAGGACATTAAAAGAAGTTGTGTATGAGGAACTGAGAGTAATCGGAGCACAGCAGTCTTTCTTGATTTATTACTTCATTCATTAATCCATATATAAAATGCAATTTAGGACAAGGCTCAGAAATCCTCACTCTGACATGTTCTCACATATTTGATAAATGATTCTACTGGCAGAGGCTTGAAGGGCATCTGCAGTAAATTCTGCCGAGATCTATTTCTCAAAACGTTTTTACACTTTCATATCAAATTAGAGGATATCTCTTAGATAAGGGTAAGTGATGGGATTTCTATCACTTGGGTGCATGTCTCATAACTCACATACGTGGAAGAATACAAGCAACCAGCACTGTAAGAATGGCACAACTTTAGGACAGTCCCCTTGGAAATAATTCTCAGAATTGTTTTTCTTCAGCCCAAAGTTTTTAATAATCACTGAGATGCTTAAAGACCTTGATATAAATATTTTCTCTAACTGCAGAGGAAGAAGTACTGTGATGTATGGATTCCATTTGAGTTATTCCAGGCAGAATATGGGTTCTTAAAACTCATTTGAGGGAGTTGAAAAAAATTTGAATATGGCAGTCACATAATCTCCACGTACAGGACTAGGATGACACTGAAAAGTTGGAAACTGCATTCCTTTGAATAGGATAAAGAGGGGTGGTGGAGCAAAGAGTTTCTGTTTTGGTGAACCTTACTGTTTCTGTAAACTGGCTCCAGAATTGCTGCTTTGTCCTTAGACCTTTGTCTCCCCTCCCACTCTATTTTATGTATTCTTCTTCACCCTTTCTCATTTTTATGCATAAAATTCCCTCCTCCTAGCTTACTTTACTCTTCCAGAGGGCTTTTGTCAGGCTTTTGGTTTGTGTACTCGTATTGTAATATGCTCATGCACGTAGAGATGCACAAAAGCACACTCCTGTGTTCCTGCTGTTTGAATGCCAAAGAAAAGGTCAAATGATTCCTGAGCTCTCCTGGTTATAGCAGAAAAAAGGGAGATAAAGTGGGCATTCCCCCTCTGTTCTGTGCTGTGCTATCCCACTGAAGAACAAAATCAGTTTAGGGAACAAGGCTGTACTCAGAACCTGTTCATTTATAGCTATTGTCAAGACTGACTGTCAGCAGTGGGGCTTTCTGACAGGGTGAATGAAGCTTTAACACTCTATTTTTCAATGACACAAAGGGTTCTAAAAAAAGCAAGATTTGGTCTTCAACAAACAACTCAGCTCAGAGCTAATAAACTGATTTGATATCTGTTTAAAATCTGAGCTTTTATAAACAAGGGTACATTGATCGAGGCATATAAGACCTAGAAGCGCAATTTTCTCCCTTTTATTTGGATCTTGCTTTGCTGGGAAGGTAACAATTAGACTCTGAATTCTAATGGTTACTTTGTCATTTGTGCCAACCCTTTAGTTCCAGAACCTTTTGTCCATTTCCCTTGAAATCTGGTATAGTGTCATTCTGAAGACCAGCCATAACCTGCCGATTTTGAAACCAATAAGCTTCTATTTGTGAATTCAGGGATGCTGGTTTCTAATAGCCACTTAGCTGCAACATTTCCCCTGCATCTGTAGTAAACATAGTATGCTGCATATCTCAATCGGGTATTTAAATTCTCGACGGATATATAGATTATTGCTGCTGTGCAGAGGAGATCTTTCTGCTACCCTTGAGTAATATCCTTTAGCCTTATTCAGCTTGGAAGTATTTATCAGGAAGTCATTACAGCTGTTTTGTTTGCACATAGCTTTCACTCCTCATATTTTATTGTCTGGACAGCATTAGCTCAATTAGTCTAATGAACGAGTAGGTCTTCTAATATTTACTATGTAATTAGTTCATTGGCCCACACATAATGCGCTAGGTCAAACTGTGTGATGTCTCTAGCCAAGACTACTCTGAAGAACTTTGTGGTTTATTTTTTTGATGTTTTGGCCCAGTGCTTTCTGAGGCAGACAGAGCAGGCTAATTTTGGTGTATGCTTTCCTAAATATTGACAAAGCACTAAAGCTTCTTAGAAAAATGATGTTCTTGTCCTACAAAACTCCTAGCCAGAGAAGTCTAAACCCCTTTTGTCTGGGGCAATCTGGATAGTATTAGAAAAGTAAAATAAAGGGCCATCAGTTGATTTCCAGTTGATACCTAGCATGCAACGCTAAAGCAGAAAACAACATAGTAGAGTATATAATATACCAGGGATTACAAAATGCTCTACTGCATGCTTTTCTCTCCCCACAGGGAATAGAAGAACAAATGCATAACAGATGTTAGTTATATTACTTATTAAGCAAATAGAAAGTGCTGAGATGTTTCAATAAAGAGCTGATATCAAAACATATAGATACAGCATGAATGGAAGCAAATAGAGCTAATGCTTCTATGTATAACTGAAGTAACTCAAACTTTTACTAAGAAGAAAAAAAAACAAAACCAATCATACATTTTTTCTCCTATTCTGTTAAAAATAAATAAATAAATAAATAGATAAGACAATTTAGTAAAAGACTCCTAATAGGCTGAACAGTATTACAGATACATTGCTGTTAGCCCTAACATTGTGGAGATTCCTGTCTAACCCCACCTGTAGCTACTGATGGTATAAAGCCCAGCTGATGCTCATTTTCTGTTTACCAGTCAGCAGGTCTGTGGTGTAACAATTACCCATAACACAAGTGGGGGGCGGGGGGGTTGTTTTGCTTTGTTTTGGGCTACTGCCAGTATTTCTGCTCTGAGGGCTGTGTTGCTTAAACTTAAGAAGTCATAATGAAAGAAGAGTGGAAGGGAATAGTTCAACATTCAAAGGTTTGTTTTCTCTGGATGAGAAGGTAGAAGAATGACTGTTTACCTCAAGCACACCTGGATTTTCTAGGGATCACCAGATTTACCTAGAATTCAAGGAGAACAAACTAAAAACTCGTTGAACTTAGATAAAGGTAGGAAAACTATGGACTCTCTGTTTAAGACTGATAGAGCCTCAGTAATTTTATTCAGTAATTGGGGATTCGTAGAAAGAAGAGACAGAATTTAAATATGTGAGTGAAATAATGTCTAACTGGAACTGAAACTTTTTCTTTGATTTTAAAGTAAAGAAGTTTGATTTACTTCTAAATTTAATTTTTCATATGCCAAAAAAAAGCAGGGAGAGAATATAACAGCAAAATAAATCGTGTTGAGTGGATGAACAAAACATATTAGGAAGAAATATTTCGAAAAAGAAGGTATTTCTTTTGATGGCCTTCACTTATTAGGGAATTGAACCCTTACCTTTTGAGTCAAAAAGTGCGTTTTTAACATAGGTGTTCTGTAGTTGATTATGAATATTTCAAACTACCCTTAAAATTAAAACTGGAAGATGGAAACAGAATTTCTTCCTATGTACTTAAAAACTACATAATATATTCAACGAGTAAGAGGTAGTGCAGCTTTGTATTTTTTAGGTTGTATCTTCTATGGTATTTGTTTTTTAATTTTTTAAATGTTTTTTGTAACTTAGTGACAACATGCATGGCTGCAGAGCATAAAAGGAAGATTTACAGGGCTGTAGATCTTTTGAAGTTTGCTATAGCAAACCTCAAACATACATTTTATATATGTGATTGCGAAATCATTGGGTGTATCCATGGTGTCCTTCTATGAGTACTGGAGACTCCAAGGCATTCCTGAGGTTTGCTACAAGATACTTGTATTTGTGATTATAAGAAGTTGGTCTCTAAGAGAAGTTGCGCTGTCTTTTAAGTCCCCTTTAATCAAGTAACTGAGTATTAAAGGCTTCCAAAGATAGGTGTTGGTTTTATCTTTCAGGTGGCTATCATCGTCGTGGGGGGTTAAAGTTATGGCTACATGCTATAGTGAATGCAGGACTCTGGTCACAGAGCTTGAAATCGCATTATGAAAGGCATTCTGAGATGCAGTGGCTCAGATGTTCTGCTCTAGAAGTACTTCTTGTGACAATTTAGAGATCCTCCTCTAAAATGGAAAAGGCAAGGAGCTGTCTTAAACTTAGGGCCCCATTTGTTCTGTAGAGCAGCATTACTGCTGATGTTGCTGGATGGAATTTCTAAAACACCTATTGTGAAGCATCTTAGAAATTTCTGTTGAAACCTTAAGGTTGATGTAGGATGAAAAGCTTTATGGAAATAAATATGGGGAAAAAAGCAACTTCTCATTAGTTCATATTGTTTATATTGATAGCAAACTTATTTAATTAATGTAGTGTCAGCATTATTTTAATATGCTACAGATGTTTAAATGAAGAAATGCTTGATGGCAAGTAAGGGAGGTGCTCCTTAAACAGCAATTTTACTTCCTGCCTTTTAGCAAAGTACTTATATTTGGGTGGCAGAAAGGAGATGGACTTGGCTCTTTGTGTTACCAGGTTTAAGAAGCCTTGACAGTTATCATAGGGTGTGTCAGTTTTCTGATTCTCCTCCTTGCTAATTGCTACTAAATATCTCAGACCATCTTTGTAATATCTCAAGGAACTGATTCTATTCTGATCCCCACTGGGGGAAGATTGAACCAGTGAGCCAGATCTTTGTAAACAGCTTTAGATGAAGAAAATTCTGTACCAACGACAGAACTAGAGAAAGGTGTATAACTTGCCAGAAGCTTCTACCTATATCTTTAGGCACTTTAATACCTGTGAAAGCTTGGTGCCATAGTTAATGGTTGTGGAAATAAAAGCTTGCATGGAGTACTACTGTGTCAGCATATAAGGAAGCTGTTCTGATTGCTGTACCAGTAATATTGATTGACTGTGATCAATAACAGTGCAGTCAAAAGTAGCAAGAGCAGTGCTTATGCTTCAGCTTTGGATCTGGCTTTTGGCAAAATAGGAGTATTTTGCATTCTGACAGTGCTTTTCCATCTCAACTAATGCTCCTTCTTTCTTCCTCAGTGGAGTTGTATGTAATCTGTGATGGTGCAACTCTAAAATAAGCTGGAGTCCTGCTTAGCAAACATATATAAATGTTTATAAATTGGTCTCAACATATCCAGTTATCTTATCTCTGGGCTGTGAGTGTTGACAGAATAATTTCTGATCCCTTCTACTTCATCAGTATACATTCACATAAATTCATGTGGCAGTTCAGAGCCAATTAAAATTTATAAGCCACAAGTAGTGAGTGAAATTCTGAGGATTAATTTACTCACTGGAGTATTAATCTGTGTAATGTAGTAGGTTATCCTTCAGTAAACTTGGCTATATGGAGATAGGGAGATACATTTCCTTGCATGTTTTACTGTAAATGCAGTAATTAGTCCCACTGGGCTGTTGAGCTTGAACGGTTACAGCCGGCAGTACCATCGCAGCCTTGGCCTGAACCCTGGGAGAAAGAGCCCAGTCAGCAACATGAAACCCAGCTAGCAGGATCCATTTGGCTTTTTGTTCCCTGCTCTGAGTTAGAGATAAAGAAAGGAAAAGTGAGATAAAATTAATCTTGATTTTTTTTAAAAGGAAAGCAAACATTGTTCTGAATATCAGAAAGTATAACCTATTCCCCCTGTCATCCCCAAACTTCTCCAGTAGAGTAGCTATTGGGAAAAGATTTGAGAAGGGAGACAATGATAATAAATGACTTTGCATGTTCGAGAAAAGGAGCCTCATCCTTAAGGCTGTGAGCTAGGATCCTGCAACACCAGGAGAACCTAACTGATGAAGCCTAGTAAATCTGACTGTTGTTAATGGTTTTTTAACTATCATTTATTCAGCTAATGGTCTCACTGATAGGGAGCAGGGGCAGAAGGATGTTGTGGCTTGTGGAGAGCCACAGAAACAGCTGGTACTTGATTCAACATTTTAATTTAGATCCTTTTCTCCCTGCTTAAGGACTGGTCTTTTCATCAGCTTCTGCCTTTTTCCTATGTTATTAACTGTAGACCTGTTCATGTAAAACTCACTGGAATTCATGTGTGTTTAAAAGAAAAAAAAAAAGGCAAGTACAAAAAGCTGGTGGAAAAACAGGTCTCAGGGGAGAGTGGCAAGATAAATTATTTCCATGGTTTTGTGTGGGAAAACTCAGTCAGGACAAGCAAATGAATAAATAAATATGTTATATGAACTTGTATCTGGGGAGCACTGAGGCTTGGGGATGAAGACCTGCAGTAAGGCTTCCTGGCCTAGAGGAGGCTCGGCCTGGTGTTCATGCTGGCTTTTCACTGTTGTCGCTGGCTGTGAGTTGGAAAGCCAGCTTCCTTGCTGTTATCTCACATTATTGGATTTATCTATCATATTCCCTCTGACAGGGATGATACTGAAAGGCCAAAACCTGCTGAATTGCTTTTATCTGGCTGACATGTGAATTATCCCTGTCCAATCCTCTAGTCCTAATTCTTCTGTTTGTCAATCGATGTGGAGCAGAAATGAGTGTAAAAAGGTAAATATGGCTTTCAGCAAATAGCTCCATGTCAGCTGAGGGCATGGCAGCAGAAGGCGAGTTCTCCTCCTGCCCAGCAAGCCCTGCCCTGCCTCCTAGGCTGTGCATCCCTCCTGAACCCCGAATGTTGGCTCCTGGGGGAGCTGCCTGCCCCTTGACCAACCTCAGTCCCAGTGGGTTGTGGTCATTAAGGCTGCTGTGGGGGGGCTGCAAGGGCTGCTGGCCACCAGCCATGCCCCACTAGGTGTGAGGCAGAGCCCCCCAGTGACTGAGGGCTGGCTGGGCTCTGGCCTTTTCATCTGACCCACGCTGGAGCACAGCCTGGAATAAAGGGCTGGGATTTAACTGGAAATCATGCCAGTGTTAGGTCACATATGCAACTGTTAAAATGCCATTATTAAGGTTGTCCAAGTCTTAATATAAGAAAGGTTTGAATTGGGTCACTTACCATACAGGTGCTTTTGAAAATGGTATGTCAGAGAACCTGCTGCTTATACATGTATAATACATCCTAAATGTACCAAGAATCAAAGTCGAAATTGCCCTTTGGATTTGCCTATCTGACAGAAAGAGAAATATCCATTTCAATTATATCCATTATCTGGTTGTAAATAGTAAAGCATATAAGTTGCTACACAGGTACGTACTCTAAAGGAAAAAACCCACAGCCTTGTGTGGTACATCATGAACTAACTTGTGGGAGAATGCAACCTTGTTTCATCTCATATTATTTCTAAAATGTTAACACTAATTCTTTCTTTCACCTTCTCTGTCTGGTTATTGAAGCCTGCATACTGTTTTCTTGTGCACAGTGCCTTCTAATTATCTTCTATGAGATATTGCTGGTATATCCCCACAGAGAATAACAGAACTTGGTGGAGAATCATAAAACACATTTAAGAAACATCTAATGGATGTGTGCATGTGGGGAAAAAATAGTTATTTTTGTTGTTGTATTTAGTTTAGTGTTTTTTTTTTTTTTGATGTCTATGTCTATTCAAACAGTGGCCATCAGGACACAGACTGGATAAGTAGAGGCTGTTGTATGGCGTTATTTTCTGGGGCAGTCTAGTAAGAGTTACCTTCCATGAACTTCTCCTTCATAAATAATAATGCCTGTCATTCATCATCACAGTTCTTGATCATCTAGTGTTGTTTTTTTTGTTATGACTCAATGTGAGTCACTTTTATATTTTCATATATACATGTATACACACAGATATAGTGCACGGAAACCTCAGGGAGGGCTTCCTGCCCCTTGGTTTGGGGGCATCTGGCAGCTGAGTCTCTCACCCTTGCTGCCCAGCTGCCAACACTGTGGCAGCCGCAGCTGTGTCCAACCCATGTGCTTCTGGTGAGAGCCTGTCCCCATCCACTGTGAGGTGCCTGATGCCAGGGCTGCTCCTGGCTGGGGCCAGGGGATGGGGAACTCTCTCATTGCCTGTACCCAGAGTAACTTAACTCAGGTAGGAGTTAAGGGCAAAGACAATAGGAAGCTTTTAACTGCAATAGAAGAATTCCAAGGGCTTAATTAAGCTTTGGATCAGCACTTTAGG